TCGGTTTCAAACCGAAACCGACCGTTGCTCAGCCCTACCAATAACTACGCCATTTTTTATATCTTTATGAAAATGGTATACAAATAAATAAGATTTAGGATTTTTACCTTTACCCAGACCTTCAGAGGTCTCGGGCCTGCCTGTCTCGTCATCCTCTCTGGTAAGATTGTTGCTCTCGGGTGTTGGTTCCTCCGCCTCTTCAACGTCCACGAAAATATCCTCAAGAGTTGAAAGATTGACATCATTCGTACCTCTCATGCCGCTCATGAGTTGATCGAATTCTTGATCACTCATGGTGTCGCCTATGAACTGCTCGGGGATTGTAGGAAAGGACGAGACAAAGTGTTTCCCTTGAGAAGCACGTAAGTTTGAACCTTCAGATGTGGCGTGGGCTTTGCCTTTGCCTCTGTTAGAACCTCCACAGTTCACAACACCCATATATTAATATTAATAAAAAAATAAGAATATATACTAGAATATTATAACATTCTAAATTTCTTTTATTAGTATTATAATATATTTTTAAGTTTATAAATGTATTAATATATTACTCCCTCCGTCCCAGAGTATTTGTCCACTTTCATTTTTACACACCATTCAATGCACTTCTTTAATCCATTTTATCTTGTAATTTGTATATTAAAAAATTATAGAAATTATATTTTAATAATCTATATGTTAAGACAAATCAAACAAGATCACACATGACTATATTTAGGCTTACACATTGAGAGAATTTGATGAGTCAAAGTGCTTAGATGAACAGTTCCAAAAGTCAAAAGTGGACAAAAACTGGGGAACGGAGGGAGTATAAATTAACATATTATAGTACAAATATATAATATATTTATAATATATGATTATAGTATATAAAAATATAAAATATATAGAGATTTTGAGAATTGAGAGGGGGAGAGAGAGAGATTGAGAGAATAGAGAAATTAGAGATTGTGTTTGAAATTTTTAAAAAAAAATAAATAGGGAATTTATGGGTTAAACCCCCCCCTAAACCCCCCCCCCCTAAACCCCCCTTCCCCAACGGCTAAATAGCCGTTCTGTGTACTATCTCTGCTCTGCCCACTGCGTTCCGCAATGGTCGCCAAGAAGGAAAAAAATACCTAAACCGCAACCGACGGTTGCGGTCCCCAAAATAAAACCCGGATCCAAACACGTGTCCACTCGTTTCGGGTCTGGTTCCTATACCGGCTGTGTCTGTTTCCGGTCTGGTTCCGGAACTGCCGGTGGCGGTTCTTACCGAGAACCGTGTTCAGCCCTATGCCCAAATCTAAAGGAGATTTTAAGGTTGTTGAAGGTGAGAACATAGGAGATGAAGAAGAAGAAAAAAAGGACATGGTTAAGTGTTTTCTGTTTTTCTTTTCTTTCTTGTGCCTTAAATTGTGTGATGTGTTGTGTGTTATTTGTATTTTTGTGGACATATAAAGAGAAAACGTTTGTGCATAGACTTTGATACTATGTGATATTCGCAAAGTGTTTTCGAATACTAGACTATCAACAACACTTTGAATACAAAAATATGGCAAAGCAAAATGCTAAAACCCAAAGCAACCAAAAACAGTGATTCTTCTCCAAAGCACATACAAGGATAAGAAATACAATTAATTAATTCTTCTAAGAGTGCATATGTGCCCAACGACTGCTTGGTCCAGCAACCAAATACAACCAAAGCTGCAACATAAACTCATAGTTTAGTTTCAAAGCCTACCTGTGGTAGACCAACAAAAACCTTATTTTACACTATGTGATGATTGTTACAATTCTGCAAATAACTAACTAAAACAAAGGTCCAAAACACAACCAAAGTACTACATACGTATATCACACCAGACCCAAAAGAGTTGTAGAAGCAAGTGCCAAAAACTCCAAAACAGAACCAAAGTACTACGTCTATCACACCAGAAAACTAGCTAAAACAAAGTGACTATACATTTCACTTCATGAATGAATCATCCCAAACCAATAGAACCAAATGAATTCATGTCCTTTTCCATAACTAATTTTTTTTAAAATCCAATAAATATACAAATTAAAATCAAGTTCTCTAAGAATAGAAATCAATCAATTTCCATGGGATACACAGATATTATACCATCGAGTTGCTCAAAAACCTTATTTTGTGATGCCCAAATCGTGGCTTTATTCGGTATGTATATAAGATTAGGCAGCAAGATTTCCCTCTAAACTTTTCATGGGTAAAAGAGCAAAATTGATCTCAAATGCTAAATTTAGGATAGGAACGCTGGGGGTGGGAGCTTTTTTGTGTTTTAGCAGCGAGGAAGAATCGGCGGAAGGAGAGAAACTAACGGTATGTTTGGTTGGAGGTAGGTAAAATTTTTATTAGGTAGGTAATGGTAGGTAATTGAAGGTAGGTAATTGAAGGTAGGTAAAGTAAGGTAATGTGTAAAAAAATTGTGTTTGGATGTTTATTAGGTAACGTGAGGTAGGAAAAAATAAAATTACTAAAATATCCTTGAGGTTGTTTTTCTTTATTTGTTTAGGATTTTTTATATGAAATTAAAATTTATTTAAATTTTAAATGTAAAATTTTAAAATTAAATAAACACTCCAGTAGAGAAAGAGTGAAAGGAAAACTGAAAATTGAAGTGCAAAAGTGAAAATGGCAAAAAATTGAAGTGCAAAAGTGCAAAAGCATAGTAGAACAAAAATCGAAGTGCAAAAGTGCAAAGTAGAACGAAAAAAGTGAGAAAAAAAATCTGGAAATTGAAAAAAAAGTAAAAATTGAAGTGCAAAAGTGAAAATTACAGCGATGGGGAAGATTATGCAGTGACAATTGCAGCGAAGGAAAACATGAAGATTATGCAGTGAAAATTGCAGGGAAGGGAAAAATTACAGTGAAAATTGAAAAGTGAAGTGCAAAAAATTGAAAATTGCAGCAAAGAGGTTAGGGTTATTGGAATGGAATTGAAGAGCAGAGCAGATCGAGAAAAAAAAAGTGCAAATTGAACTATGGCGATCGAAATACCTGTGGAATGGCGATGTGAAGATGGCGACTGGCTTTCCTGCGATCGGGCGAAGGGTAGCGTTACCGTGATAATTCGCCAAATTGGCGGTCATGTAAAATGCACTGTTTAGAGGTAGCCTTACCTCCCTTTACCTCTCCCTACCTCATTTGACCTATCTCATTTTTTGTTCCCAAACAAGGTAAAATATTAAGTTTACCTCTCCCTACCTTCCCCTACCTCCAAACAAACATAGTGTAAGAACGCAGAGAATGAGAATTTTATTGAAAAACAAACACTCAATTTATTGTTAGAGTAACTTCAATGCCTAGGGTAAACTATGGCGGCCCGGTTTCATGGCCACTGGAATCCAGTGGCCGGAAGCCACTGCCCCTGATGGGCCGATATCCAGTGGGCGGCCCAAATGAACCATTTATACAGTTTCGGGACAAGCACCTGTGAAATGCCCAAGCTTGGGCCGGCCCGTGGAGCTGGGCCTAGTTAATCTCAAGCCAAGCGCAGCTGGCAGAGTCAATCCGGAGAAGGAGACGGAGCAGATTGGCTGTTACGGAGCCGGAAAAAAGGGATCGCGCCATTGGCGGGATAGATCGCATCGATAATGCATTACCTAAATTGCTGAGAGCTCATGTATAAATAGTGGAGACCCGAAAGGGGAAAACTCAAGCAAAATCAAGCTAATAATACATACCCAATTCTCGAATTCTCGTTCTTAATTTTGTTCTTACGATCCGCTTTGTGAATCGGATCATTTGGTGGATTTACTGTCCATCAAATTGGTGCTCTCATTGAGAGGTTCGAGAATCATACTCAGAGGAAATCCTCCACAAAGACGATGGTGCAAACACGCAGTAATGCCAATATAGGTACCGGAGTTCCCCAGCAGGGGGAGAACAGCGCCACTGGAGGCCGGAATCCTCCCATCACTACGGGGGAAGCTGAGGCCCTCATCCAGAGGCACTACAAGAAAATATCAAATTTGCAACGGAAACATTACAACAGACAAATTTCCGTTGCAATTCTGCAACAGATTTTTTGTTTGCAACAGAATTATTCCGCAACAGATTTTTTTGCAACGGAAAGTAACAATATCTGTTGCAATTTGGGCGGGAGGTTGGCGCCTTTTTCTGGGAATGATCTGCAACAGATATTTGCAACGGGTTTTCTGTTGCAGACTGTCCGCAACAACTTATTCAACAATTGCAACGGCCGAATCAGTTGCTTTAATTCCGTTGCTAAAATAACATTTTTTTACTACATATTTTTCACTTGTAATGTTATAATTTTGGCTACATGTATTTCAGAATTATTGTATTTCAAACGTATATGTTACTATTTTTGGAAAAAAAATTAGAAAAAATGTAAATAATTTTAATAGAGGAAGGAAATAAATAAATAAATGTTATTCCCCAAAACACAATCATATAAAATATCTATTAAATTAAAACATAATCTAATTTTTTTATTCAATTTAAATTATCTGAATTGAAATAAAATTATACTTATAAATACGAGGAAACTAAAAAAGTTAATGTCTTAAAAATTGAAAAAAAAAAACAAAAACTCCATCAAAAAAATAAAGAACAAAAAAAATAAAGCGATTATGGAGCAACATACGATTAAATTTAACACACACACAACCATCGACTGCTCTTTCTTCTATCCTATCGACAAAAACCAAAGAGACAGATGGAATGAATTTGAATTGTCGGCGATACAATCCAGACGATGTCAAGAAATGCTCAAATTTTCTCTAATCACTTCCAATCAAGGTTTAGGTGAGTAATCTGATCTTTGATTTTTCTTCCGTTGTGACTCTTGAAGCTTGAAAAGTTGGATTTTTTATTTTTTTAAAGAGTTTTTTTTTATTTTTTAATAGAAAAATAGTTGTTTATAAAAGAATTTTATAAATTTTAGTTTTTAAGACTAAAAATACTTTTATTTTTAAAAAGACTTTTTTTGCATAAAATGTATAAAAAATACACAAGGGTGAGTTTTGGATAGAATTGGATGAGAATTGGGTAAAGCGGAGACTCAAATGGGTGAACTCGGATCCAAAGTCACTTTTTTGGGTTTGAAACTAATTTAAAGATAAAAATAAAGGGGAGGAAGAGGGACCAAAAAATTCATTCGACCGTAACTTTTTACGAGAGAAAACCGCCGAGAGGGAGGAGAGCGAGAGCTAGGGTTTCCTCGCCGGTTAAACGCCTCCATCGTCGGCGTTTACGGGCGAGTCGCAGCACCCCACCACTCGGAGAAAGCACGGCCAGGCTGGTTGTCCATCTGTTAATCGCACCAAACCAAGCACAACGGAGCTCGATTTTGAACGGATCTTCGAGGGTGACGAACTCTAAACCTTAATTTAATAGTTTGATTTGATTGTATTGTGTTTCTAATTCAACATCTGAGATTGATTCGTGATTTTCAATTGGTTTGTGTCTGGTCCATTGAGATTTGTTATAAGCTTTCCTAGCCCTGTTGTGTGTTCGATTTCTCCATTATTTGTGTGATTTGAATCTGAGTTTGCGATTATATTAGTCAGAAATGTTATTGGAATAGATTGAGATGGATATTCTCTACTCTAATATGAATATAAGTGGGTAGATTTGCATTACTTGGTTTGATGTGTGGATTTTGAAGCAAATCCTTTACCACTGAAATTCATGAACTTATTACTTTGGCAATTTATTGCAGATTTGATTGTATTACTGGGCTTGATCTTTGGAGAGTCCACACAAATTGATGGTTGGTATTGCGTAGAGCACCCTTGTATATGCTTGAGCTTTTTAGGGTCAAAGTATCTAGTAGTATTATCAATGGTTAGTTAGGTATTTTACACATGGTTTGGTTGATGTTGGTCTTTGAATTTTCGGAGGGCTTTGGTCCGGTCCTCCCCTTATGTTTTTTATTTGCTTTTGTTAAAAAAAATATATTAATAAGCATTTTTACTAATGATTTAAGGATTTTGATTGATGAGACATTTTTAGACCACTATAAATAAGTTTTTTTTTGAAATTGTTTGTAGATGGGCAACGTATGGGAAACAACAGTGACAAAAACAAACTCAAAGGAGAATAGAGACCCGACGAAAATATTATGTCAGCGTGGCAAAAGGTATTTTTATTTTAAGTTAAAAAATATTGCATGGTGTTGGACTTAGGGCGATGATATATTATGACAGTAAATATAATTATATAATTAATGTTTGATATTTTGAATAATGCATGTCTTGCTAAGCCCCACAACTTTGATAGTTTGGTAATAAAATTCTTGTTTAGTTTTCTTTAGGATACAAGTGTGTATGTAGAATGTGATAGTAGTGATTAGTTTTCAAGCGGAAAGTAATCTTGTTTTGGCCTATTATGAAAGGTAGTCCTCTAATTTTTTTTCTTGGGAAGGAAGTGGATTTCCTTGTTCTTTAGTTGGTTTTTCGTGTATTACTTGTAATTCTTTTCCTTCATTTTGAATTATTGGCATATGCATTCAATGGACATATTTTAATAAAAATATTTTTGTTTATTTACACACAGGATACGAGTCTGATGATTTCAAGAAAAAATATGAACAAGAAATATATGTTAGTGAGGAGCAGAAATATATGTTAGTGCAAAACAGGATACGATAGAGCAGAGATTGTTTGGAGATCATTTTCCCTGTAGATGACGGAGCTGACAATGATGGAAGTGCACCGATATGTTAGTTAATAGTTTAAATTTTTAATGTACAATAATAGACATTATTATTGAGAGGTGTGAAAAGTACATGAAGTTTTATTTTGTTTTATGGAAAATATTGAAACTCTTGTTTTGCGAAATATATGTGTTTGAGTATGTTTGAGTATCCTTGCTACATTTGATAGTTAAGTTGGTATGAAATTGAGCATGCGCTTAGTACACTGTGGTTCTTTTTAGCTTCTCCAATGGAACCCATTGCACTAGAGATGTTACTATTTTTGGTTGCAAATCTTAGCAATGGAAAATCCGTTGTATTTTTCCGATGCAATATTTTGCAACGGAAAAAAGAGTTGCAAAACTTCGTTGCATTATGTTGCAATTAAATTTCCATTGCAAACATTAGCAACGACATTTCCGTTGCAATTCTTTTGTAGCAAAATTTTGCAACGATAATTTCTGTTGCAAATTTCTGATGCAGTGCTTTGCAACGGAAAATCCGTTGCAGAAATGAATTTGCAACAATGGTTTTTGCAACGGCAAATGTGCAACGGAAAAGCTGTTGCAATCATCATCAGCAACGGAATAATACAAAAATTGCAACAGAAATTGCTGTTGCAATTCCGTCTAATTCTTGTAGTGAGGGTTGGGATCACAGCCGAGCAATTCAAGGAGGTCCTGGCTGCACTCACACCCAATCGCGAGATTGTGGTGGAAGATGTAGCTGGGGGACCCACAGGCGGGAAGGCCGGACCTGCTGGCTCCCAAGGGAAAAAGAAGAAAGTGAGGCGGTCCCAGAAGAAGAAGGCGACCAAGCCCAATGGGAAGGCGGTGATGGCGGATGCGCTTTCCAGGCTGGACGAAGAGGACGAGTCGTCCTCCTTCGAGCGGATGTCTGCTTTTGACCGTTTGGGAGATCCCAAATCAAAGAAACTTCGGACCTCTGCGTTCGAACGGTTGCAAGACACTCAGTCGGCCCGAAAGGGCGACTTGAGGGACACGCTCAAGGAGAAAAGAGGGGAGTCCACAGCGACCTCCAAGATCGGTTCTGAAGAGCGACGGATGATGGTCGAGGACAAGGGCGCAGCCGAGCTGTGGAGAATGTACGAACAACTGGAGAAGCGGTTGGACGCCCAGAACCCCTACCACCAGGCGGTCTTCAGTGAGGTAACGCCCTTCTCCGGGAGGATAATGTCTTGTCCTCTCCCGGATAATTTCAGAACTCCCCAAATCAAGGCGTACAACGGGACGACTGATCCCCAGGACCATCTCGCTCGCTTTGGGGCAAACGTGGTCATGTATGCATACCCAGAAGAAATCAAGTGTCGATGTTTCCTGGCGACACTGGAAGGGCAGGCTTGTGAGTGGTTTCACAAGTTACCCAAGGGGTCGATAGATAAGTGGAGCGACCTGGCCCACAAGTTCTTGGAGCACTTCGCATCCAACCAGAGACAAAAGCTCCCCTTCTCGCATCTGCTCAATGTGATCCGGAAGGGGGAACAGCTCCGGGAGTTCATCAATAGGTGGGAGAAGGAGGCTAGGGACGTCCAAGGGGCGGACGATCAAGCCCTGATCGCCATGCTCCAAGCTGCACTCCCCCAAGGGGATGCGCGTAAGGAGCTGCGACTTAATCCTCTTTCGACCTATCAAGAGATGTTGGCCAGGGCGAAGTACCTGGCGTTGGAAGAAGAAGATGATGAGCCACCAGTCCGGAAGGAGAAGAAAAGCGGGCCGCCAGTGGCAGAAGGAAAGAAAAGGAAGGACTATGGTAAGGGGCCGAACCCCACCGGGTATCACGCGAACAGGCATCCTGTTCATGCGGTACAGTCGTTGCCTGCCCCTCCTCATAGTCGGGAAAGCTATGGCGTGCAAGATGCACCCAAATACTGCGAGTACCACCGTAACAGCACCCATAACACATCGGAGTGCGTTACGTTAAAGAAGGAGATGGATCAGCTGATCGCTAGAGGGCCGCCTCCTCGGTCGGAGCGACCGTCCTCAAGTAACCGGACCTGGAAGAGGCCGCCAACCCCCACGGCAGCAATCACAGCAGGAGAAGGGCAAGAAGATGGACGGCGGCATCTAGGGCGAGAATGCGACGATCTAGATGAGGAGGAGAGGCAAGGTCGCCGACACCTGGGGTGTCGGTTCATCATGGGAGGAAACACTGGAGGAGATTCGGTATCCTCCCGGAAGAAGTGGAAGAACATGGTGTACCTGGCCGAGGTACAAAGGCCGCCGCTGCCTAAGCGGAAGAAGAAGGAGCCTCTGATCTTTACAGACGAGGATTATCCCCCAGTCCTTAGCCCTCACAGGGACGCTCTGGTGATAAAGGTAGAGATCAATAATGTGGTTGTTCACCGAACTTTGGTCGATACGGGCAGCTCGGTCAACGTTATGTACAGCAACACCTTTAAGGAGTTGGGGTTGTCCCGAAGTGACCTAAAACCAATCCATACGCCGCTATCAGGGTTCACAGGGGATACGATCGAAGCTGAAGTCACTATCACGGTGAAGGCCGGGGTAGGAGATGGCACCCACCGACTCTGGGTCGACATGGAATTTATGGTAGTGCAGCTCGACTGTGCACACCATTTGATTCTGGGACGACCAGGGTTGGAGGACCTGGAGTGCGTAATCTCCCCCGTCCACTTATGCCTAAAGTTCAACACTCCCACAGGGGTGGGGGTAGCAAAGGGAAACCAAAGCTTGTCACGGTCGTGCTACGTTAGGGCGACCAAGAGCCAAGCCCGGGTCGACGAGAATGTGAGTACGATCTGCGCCGCAATCCAGCAGGAGGAAGGGCGACCACGAGCTGAGCCGGCGGAGGAGGTCGAGGAAGTTTCTTTGGACCCGGTCGAACCAGAGCGGAAGGTGAAGGTAGGTAGAACCTTACCGCTTGAATTAAAGGAGCAATTATTGGAGGTCCTCCGAGCATTCAAAGTGCTATTCGCTTGGGGACCAGAGGATATGCCAGGGTCGACCCAAAGATCATCTGCCATAGATTGGCAGTGGATCCAACCCACAGGCCGATCAAACAGAAGAAGCGTTTCCTTTCCTCAGAACGGAGAGAGTTTGTCACTAAGCAGGTGACGACCCTACAATCCATTGGGCACATCCGGGAAGTTCGATACCCGGAATGGTTGGCCAATGTAGTCCTCGCACCCAAAGGGAGTACCTGGCGGATGTGCGTCGATTACACTGATCTAAATAAAGCCTACCCGATGGATCCTTTCCCTCTCCCCAACATTGATCAGTTGGTTGATGAGACGGCCGGGTGTGAGCTGATGAGTTTTATGGACGCATTCAGTGGGTACCACCAGATCAAGATGGCTGTGGCGGATGAAGAGAAGACCGCTTTCATCACCCCCAATGGGGTATATTGTTACAAGGTGATGCCCTTTGGCTTGAAAAATGCTGGGGCGACTTATGCACGGATGGTGAACAAGTTGTTCGCGCCAGTGCTAGGGGGATGCATGGAAGCGTATGTGGACGACATGATCGTTAAGTCCAAACGGATGGAGTCCCATGCCGGCGACCTGGAGAGAGTGTTCAAGATCATGAAGAAGTTCCAGTTTCGCCTTAACCCTAAGAAATGTGCATTTGGGGTTCAGGGGGGCAAGTTCCTAGGACACATGGTCAGCCGGAGAGGAATTGAGCCTAATCCGGAGAAAGTAAAAGCAATCTTAGAGATGGAACCTCCGAGGAATGTGAAGGAGGTCCAGGAGCTGACCGGCAGGATTGCTGCTCTCAGTCGCTTCTTGTCAAAGATAGCTGATCGAGCGGCTCCTTTCTTTCAGACCATTAAGAAGAGCAGAGGGTTTGTCTGGACCGAAGAATGTCAACGGTCCTTTGAGGGGTTGAAAGCATACCTCCTCTCCCCACTGGTACTTTCGAAGCCAGAGCCCGGAGAGATCCTATTTCTGTACTTAGGAATCTCTCCTCGAGCTGTGAGCTCGGTGCTTGTGAGGGAGGAGGAGGGCGTACAGCGACCTGTGTACTATGTGGCCCGGGTGTTGCGAGGGGCGGAGCAAAGGTACACAAACATGGAGAAAACCATCTTTGCGGTGGTATATACGGTGAAAAAGCTCACCCCATATTTTCAAGCCCACCCGGTCCATGTATTATCAAAAATTCCCATCGGAACACTTCTTCGAAGTCCGAATGCCCCATCATGGGTCAGCAAGTGGGGAGTGTTCCTGGGATCTTTTCAGATAGAGTTTAAGCCAAGACCGGCGATAAAGGGGCAGGCGTTAGCCGATTTTGTGGTAGAGTGCACAGCAAGAGAGGTGGAGTCTAGTGGAGGAGAACCCGAAGGGAACTGGTGGACGGTATACACTGATGGTTCGTCCGCGACTGATGCTTCCGGGGGAGGTGTCGTGGCGATATCACCGGAAGGGTTCAAAGCATATTTCTCCGTTAGATTCCAGTTTAAAGTCTCAAACAATGAGGCTGAATACGAGGCTCTGCTTTGCGGTTTGAGGCTAGCAGCTTCATTAAAAGCTGAACGAATTCAAGTCCGGTGCGACTCCAAGCTAATAGTAGGTCATGTCACTGGAGAATTTGAGGCCAAGGATGAGCCAATGAAGAAGTATAGAGACATCGCCCTGGAATTGCTCAAAGCATTTGGAGCGTACCGGATAGAGCAGGTACCTCGAGAAGAGAATGCTGAGGCGGACATCTTGTCAAAGCTGGGCCCGGATTCTCCAGATCATATCAAGACAATGACCCAGGAAGAAGAATTACTCGAACCAAGCATCAGTCTCGGACGAGTATTGGTCATCACACACAAGGAGCTAGCGGACTGGATTGATGAGATTACCATGTACCTCCTTGATGGGTCGCTACCTACCGACCCAATCACGGCGAAAGTGGTAAAGCGGCGTGCACCCAGTTACACATTGGAGTGCGGTCGATTATACAAACGGTCGTACAATGGTACATTGCTAAGGTGCTTAAGAGCGGGCGAAGCACAGAAGTTAATGGAGGAAATCCATGAAGGAATATGCTCAGCACATCAGGGAGCCTTCACGATGTCCAGGAAAGTAACCCTACAAGGATACTTCTGGCCAACGATTATTAGAGATTGTGCAGAGTATGTGCGCAAATGCAAGGTCTGCCAGGAGTTCCAGAGGGTGCCGGGGCGACCGGCGACGAATTATACCCCGATCAGTACGGCAATTCCCTTTGCCCAGTGGGGCATTGATCTAGTTGGCATTTTTCCTAGAGGGACAGGGAACAACACATACCTGGTGGTCGCGATTGATTACTTTACCAAGTGGGTCGAGGCCGCTCCCGTGCCGACCATCACTGCAGAACAGATGACGAAGTTCGTTTCTAAGCAAATCTTGTGCCGATTCAGGGTGCCCCAGAAGATCATCACCGACAATGGAACCCAATTCGAGGCCAGAGGGTTCAATGAGTTTCTACAGAGCTGGGGCATAAAGCACAGCTATGTAGTGGTCGGGTACCCCCAGACCAATGGACAAGTCGAGAACACCAATCGTACCATCGTGGACGGTCTCAAGAAGAAAATAATGGAATGCAAAAGTGCCTGGGTGGAGGAATTGCCCTACATCTTGTAGACCTACAGAACTACCCCAAGGAAGGCTACAAGTGAAACTCCTTTCTCGCTCACATATGGATTTGAAGCAAGGGCTCCAGCGGAGACCTCGTTGCTGAGTTATAGAGTGGAGACGTTTGACGCTTGAGAGAATGAAGAGAACTTGGGGGCAGAGCTGCACCTCATTGATGAGCGAAGAGAAAGGGCATACATACGGGCAGAAAACTACCGCCGGCAAGTCAAGTCATATCACGACCAGCGGGTGCGACCAAGGCAGTTCAAGGTTGGCGACTGGGTCCTTCGAGAGAGGGAGGTCAGTCAGCCGACCGATGGAGGGAAGTTTGCTAAAAGCTTCGAGGGGCCATATATCATAAAGGAGGTGTTGGCTGATGGGACATTTAGATTGCAGACTCCAGCCGGTGGCGACGTTCCGCGAGTATGGAATGCCGCCAACCTTATCAAATTTTATCAATAGATTGTATTCCAGCCATGTCTCTTTCTTGAAGTTTAATAAAACTAGTTTTCTGGCACATCTTGTCTTCAATTCTCAAAGGAAAAAAAAGAAGAAAAAAAAGGGAAGCGACCACAAGAGATCGCTAAGCCTAAACGTCATGGTGATTCGTGCTAAGATACCCAATGTTGGGTGAAGCGCCGAACCCTGACAAGCGACCAAGGTGGAGGGTTGTCCGGTGACGCGACTAATCAGAGGATGACGCCGTGGCAAGAAAGCCCGAGAAAACGGCTAAGTCTGGAACAAAAGATCTGCTGATCGCAGGAGCGACCAGGGGTCAATGGCGACGCCATGAGGGTAAAGTAACCCGGAAATGGCTAAGTCAAAAGAGGCGAGGTATTCTCTGATCAGGGTCTGAGGAAACTTGAACGCTTAAAATGAGATGCGGAAGAGAAGAAGATGGAACTTGTAAGTAAACAGGTGACATCAAAATACATTCATGAAAATGTTCATTACATTTCAAGGATAATCTCTTGCATCCACTACAATACAGCTGAAAACAGTCTCTATATCTTCAAAAGGAGGGATACCTTTCCATACTTTTCTTACAATGAAAAAGAACAATCTAAAACTTTGCGAGCAAAAGGCCTAGGGGGGACAGGCAGGTTTGAAGGGTAGTTCTGCAGCTGCATAGGCCGGCGGAACTCCGATCACCGGCCGTCCAGGACGACCACCGTTCTTCCCCAACATGGAACAGGATCGGTCGCCCCCAGCCTCGGCAAAAACCCACCGTCCTTCAAATATCAAGGAAGGACGGAGGGCGGCTCACTTCTTCCAGAACCCCAACCAGCATCACCTAGATGAGGATGGAGATCCTGAAGCCGCATCACCTAGATGAGGATGGAGATCCTGAAGCCAATCGAGCTACTCCAGGTCGCCTACGGGTTTTCCGGGGAGTTGAACGGTCGGTGGGGCGAGGTGGGCTGGAACCCAGTTCTTCCCCCAAAACAACCTCATTCTTAGGCCTCACCGGCGAGTTGGTGCGACTTTCGCTAGTCCATTGTTCAAGACTTGCGTAGTATGCGCACTCATGCTCCAGGAGGGGTAAGTGCTCATCATGAAAGCTCTCCCAGGGCATGCATTGCAGGGAATGGAGGGGGCATGGAGCATCCCAATCAATCCGCCCGTTAGGCAGGCGGTTGGCGGAGAGGGTTTGGTGGTAGTGGCGGCGGTTTTACCGGTGGCCACTGTCGGCGAGGCAACCGGCGGCAAAATTCGTAAGGGTCTAGCCCCCCAGTCATTAGAATTGACTGACCTGGGGGAGGAGGCAGGCTCCGGCGAAGAAGGAGCCGGCCCGTCGGAAAGGTTCAGAGAAACAGGAATTCCTTCAGAAATGGCAATAATGAAGAAAGGGAAAATATTGGGCGAGGGAACAAAATGAAGGTTAGGGGGGCTTATAAATAGGCCCAGGCTAAGGAACCGAAGAGACGGTCAAGTCTCAAGGCAGCTGAACCGATAAAGCAGCTTTGAGCCGCGCGAAGGTCCAATCAGAGATTGTGAAAGGCATTGGGTCAGTTGGGCGGCACGTTGGCCAATCCTGAGATTGGGCCTGGATAAATAAACGGGCCGGAATTAGGAGTTGGGCCCAAACTAAAACATACATGCGAATCAGCTAAGCTAGAGAAGAAAGTAAAACGCTGAAAAAAGGAGGCACATAGTGGATCCAACGAATCAAGTAACATGCGAACATTGCATCAAAACGATAAGTCATTTCAAAGGAAAAAACAACAAGTGTTTACAAAACTCCGGGGGAACAACAGGGGAGGTTAGGCGCTCGAGCTAGGATTTCCACCCGCCTTGGACGTGGCTAAGCTGGTCCCCTGATCCTGGTCGCCCTGACCGCCTTCCACTTCTTCTTCTTCCTCTTCTTCCGACGCACTCGAGCTCCCCCCGTCTAGATAAGGACTGGGGTCGAACTCGGCCAAGGAACGGCAGGGAGGAGGGAAGCCAAGGTCGGGAAGAGAGAATCCCTTGGGGAGCTGAGCCAGTCTGTCGCGGAAGACCTGTTGGGCGCGGAAGAGTCCACAGTTGAAGGATTTGGTCCCCTCCTTGACCATCCATTGAGCCCCAGGCTCGGTTTTGAGCCAAGCGGCCGTTAGCTCTTCCATCCGCTCCATCGCGACCATCGCGAAGTCAGGAGAAGACTTGAAGGATTCTACCGCTTCCTCTGCATACCGGACCCGGTCGCTCCTCTCCACTCCCAACTGCTGGATCAGGTCAGATTTTTCCCCCTCCAGCTCGACCACGCGAGCAGAAACAGATTCTACCTCCAAAGACAGGGCGGCTTTGTCTGCCTCAAGGGCGACGCAGTGGTTCTCCTTGGAAGTTTTCTCTGCAGCAAGCGCCGCGCAACGATCTTCCTTCTCCCCCAACTCTCTCGTGAGTCGGACGACCTCCTCCTGCAATTCCTTCTGCTTGGCCTCCGATGTCTTCAACGCCTCGCCCAAGGCAGCCTGGTGACCCCGTCTCCTACCGACCACCTCAATCATCCCCAGCGTGGCCTGCGCCAAGGCATGGGGGTTAAGAATGTAAAAAAGGAAAAGGAGTACAGATAGAATCAGCGCAAGTACCTGGCTCAGCCTCAAAAGGACCATGTTATCAAGGTCGTCCTCAGAACCGGCGGAGATGCGAGCTTGGTCCTCCGCGGGCAAGGTGATCAGGGTCTCCAGTTGCACGTCCCCTAAGCTTTGGGGCAGAGGATGAATGCAAAGCCTCGTCGAGCGACCCCCGGTCGCCACCTCGTAGGTCACTGCGGGAGGCGAAAGAGGTCGCTCCGAGGCAACACCTAGTGACGACCCAGCGAGGTCGCCACCCGGCCTCACAGAGTGGGGGGGGGGAATGACCAGTCACTGTACCCGTTTCCAGGGTAGCATCATCCTGGTCCTCCACTACAATTACAGCCGGCTCTTGGGAGGGACCCTCCCCGTGGTGGGACGAAGAGCGTTTGCCCTGGCCTTTCGCCTCTCTCTTCCTCTTCCTCCCTGCAGTGAGGCGACTGAGTAGGAGATCGCCGTCCATCTCTTCTCCTGAATCTTGTAATTCCACTGGAAACAAAGGAAATGGTTAGCCTTAAAAAAAATATAAACTAAACATCTGGGCAAAAGGAAAGGTCAATTACCAAAAGGACCACAGTCAAGACCTTCCTCAAGAATGTCCTTCAGCTGGACGGGCTGATGCCGCCAGGAATGTCCCTCAGTAGGTCGGGTTGGTGGCGAAGCTCATCTCGAACAAACTCAAACCCCAACCCGGCAAGGGTTTCTTCTGTCACCACCTCTTTGATGTTCATAACTCCCTTGTTGCAGAGTTGGCGAGTAATGGACAAAAGGGTGGCATCAAATGGGGGCATGGGATGCGGCGGAAGGAAGGGCGCCCTGAACCTGTGAAAGGAGATTCGGGCCCCGTCGAGACAAAGACGAAGTAGGGTTTCCAGTCTTTGGTCGACCCCTTCTTGTCGCTAGCAAAGAGCTTACTGGACCTCTGGGAAAGGCTGGCATAGGACGCCCAATCCTTATGGCCCTTGGTCAGCTTAAAGGTGAATAGAAAATGGTCCAAAGTTGGTTTCACCCCTACAGCCTTGCACCGGACCAAATAACCGGCGATGTACCGGTGAGAGTTGGGGACCAACTGACACGGAAGAAGGTCCACCACATTGAGGAATTCGATCAAAAGCGGGTGGAGTGGGAAGCGCAGCCCCTTCTTCAAAGACGCCAGATGGACCGTGAAGAACCCTGAAGGGGCGTCCAGGGCGGTTTGGGTGCTGGTAGGTCTCATGACTTCAATGGAAGGTCCGACCATGTCAGTAGCATCGACGAACCCCCGGTCAGTAATCTGGCAATGGCATAGCGCCATGATATTTTCGTCCAATCCAACCCTCGAGCCCTCGTCTACCGGGGTTGAGGAAGGGAATTGCTTCCTCAATCGACGCCGTTTATGGCCAGACACGGCCGGCGGTGACGGCTGGGGTGATTGAGTGTGGCCGGGGTTACGACCAGAGGCCGATTGATCGACTTGGCAAGAATTGGACGATGGGGTAGCCGAATCGGAATCTGAAACAATCATGGCAGCGAGAAAAGGAACTGACCTGGAAAGGAAGAAGAACGGGTCGGGTAGAAGTGGAATTACAGACGAATGATGGTGAAGAAAGCGGAAGGAAGAAATGGCGTCCTGCGGCGGTTTTTAATTGACAATAGGAAGGCGAACCGGCAGGCCATGATTACCTATTTGTGGAGATCGTGCCCAGACGTCACGCGGAGTCCAAGGAACGGCCCGGATCCCCGCTGGAGCGCCCACGTGGACTTTGCAAACTCCCCATTCCTCCCCTCTGCCCAGTTGAGGACTGAGGAGTTGGGGGGCTTATGATGGGCCGATATCCAGTGGGCGGCCCAAATGAACCATTTATACAGTTTCGGGACAAGCACCTGTGAAATGCCCAAGCTTGGGCCGGCCCGTGGAGCTGGGCCTAGTTAATCTCAAGCCAAGCGCAGCTGGCAGAGTCAATCCGGAGAAGGAGACGGAGCAGATTGGCCGTTACGGAGCCGAAAAAAAGGGATCGCGCCATTGGCGGGATAGATCGCATCGATAATGCATTACCTAAATTGCTGAGAGCTCATGTATAAATAGTGGAGACCCGAAAGGGGAAAACTCAAGCTAATAATACATACCCAATTCTCGAATTCTCGTTCTTAATTTTGTTCTTACGATCCGCTTTGTGAATCGGATCATTTGGTGGATTTACTGTCCATCAGCCCCCTACAAAACTCCGTTCATAAAATTGATGATTCCTACCCCCCCTAACCCCCCGATAAACCCCCCGCCAAGTCCCGACCCAAACTCATCACCCCACCTACGTCAATTGCACCTCGTAAGCATAATTGACTTTAAAGTCAAAAGTTTTGACTTTATACTTACGATGTGCAATTGACGTAGGTGGGGTGATGAGTCTGGGTCGGGACTTGGCGGGGGGTTTACCGGGGGGTTGGGGGGTAGGAATCATCAATTTTATGAACGGAGTTTCATAGGGGGGCAGTGGCTTCCGTGGCCACTGGATTCCAGTGGCCATGGAACCGGGCCGAAACTATGGTAGTGTGAAATCTATTTTTTACGTAGCTATTTTTTGGATAAACATATCTGGACCCTAAGTTTTTGTACCCCACTTTGTACCTCGCAGGTTTACGCTTTGTATTGGTGTAAAACTAATTTTTATTAATGCACCAACACTTTGTGTCCGTGTAAATTTTTGTTAACGCACCAACACTTGTGTGGGTGTAAATCATCAAAATGTTTGTGTATAAATGCGGTGTACAAATGGAGTACAATTTGTGGTGTAAGTGTAACATGGCCCCTATTTTTTATATTCATTCCATCCATATCTTCTAGAATATAATATACACTTTTATATATTCCTTTAGTTTTGAAATAAACCCCTCGTTCATTATTCACAGGATTAAACTTTATTCACTTTGTTAGACTATTTTCGTCACTCATTTGATAAAATAATATAGTCATGTCATCTCTAATTTTGTAGATCTTTTGATATAATTTTTTAATACGTAACTTTTATATTTAAATTTTATTTACACCATTTTTCATATAAATTTATTTGAAAATAACTTCAGTCAAACATCGTAACGGACAACGAGAAGTTTATTTGTGAACGGAGGGAGTAATTTTTTTATTTAAAGTTATCTATTTATAAGAATTATTTTTAATTCATCCTTTAGTAATAAATAATTATGTGATTAAATTGGAGCACTTCATGTGAGAGAATATTCTATTATTTGCACTATATACATCATAGTCCTTTTTGCACTATAATCTTTTTTAGCATTGGGTTTGCACTTTACACCCCCCACTAAGCAGGGTAAAATGATTTGATCTTGGATAAAATGATAAATTGATATTTTACAATGAAAGCGTCTAAACTGATATCAATTACTTATATACCAATTGCTTACATAATTTTGTTTGGGGTACATACAGTGCCCCGTTTATAAAAATGACCCAACCCTCCCCCTAAACCCTCCACCCCAGCCCCCATCTCGCTATCCTGCCAGGGTAGGGAGGGGGCGAGAGGGGGGCTGGGGTGGGGGATTTAGAAGGAGGATTAGGGGGTGTAGGAATCGTCATTTTTATAAACGGAGCATCGTAGGTACCCCAAACAAACTGGTGTAAATAAATGACACTAGTAGCACTGATGTCATTTTATATAAATATATTTTTAAGTCGTTGAAAGGAACTCAAATGAGTTGGAAGAAACTGGAAGATATTAGAAAAATTTTGAAGTTAATCTTTCTAACCCAAAAAAACAGTGCTTATGTGTTTTATTTATAAACTCTTGTCACAACATGAATCTGTTAGATTTGCAACGGACAAATTCTATCACGAATTTTATAAAGCCATAGCATATTCATAATCTACAACAGATCCGTCACAAAGTTGGTTCGTCACATATAAATTGTCGCTAATCCAAAACTAGCGACGGAAACATATATCCGTTGTTACGTTGTAGACCTGCACCAAATCAGTGACGGCTTTTAAATGTTAAAACCCCAAAATTTACGACGGAAAATTTACTACGATAGCGGTCTATGGTATAATCTACAACGGACCAATTGGCCATTGCAGATCTGTCGCAGTTAAGACTAGACAAGAACTAAATATACTAGTTTTTAGGTATTTTACTTTTGTTATTTGATTTTCCACAATTTTCACCGTCATATCATACCAAGTAGGGGTGGACAAAAATCCTGAAACCATTATCCCAATCCAAAATATCTCGATCATGTCTCTATAATATCCTGTTTTATTAGGGATGACAAAATTTTGTACCAAACCCGTTCCGAACTGTTTTAAAATGGGACATGACCAGGACAAATAGTTTCTCATTCCGTCATGTTGTCGCGTATATATTTATATACCTATTTTTTATTTATATAATGATATAATGATATATATATATATATATATATATATATATATATATATATATATATATAACTAGAAGAGGAAACTAAGGACTTTAGAGTCATTTGGAAAACAAAGCAAATACCCAAAATATCCTTTTTCCAGTGGAGACTTTACCTTAAACTTCTTCCCTTTCAATTAGAAGTATCTAAATTAGACCTGGACACGGTACCAATATGATACCGTTACCGATAACAGTATCGCCGGTACCTGCACCGTCACCGGCCACCGATCCGCCACTCCGGTTCCGCGAAACCGGTACCGGCACTGCCCCCCACGATACTAGTTCCGGTGCCAGTTTTTAGGTACCGGCACCGGTAGCACTGGTACCCGTACTGGTACCCAATTATTTTTTTTCCTTGGCTGGCACTTTGCCAGACCTGCAAACAAAACAAACCATTAGTGGGGGGACCCCTCAAACGGCTAGAATGCTGTTGAGGGGAGGGGGGTTGGGGGAGGGGGGTATAATACATTATAAAGATACTCTAAATTTTTTTAAAATATCACACTCAATTCTTAAATCTCAATCTCTCAATCTCTCATTTCGCAATCTATTCCTCATTTCCTCTCTAATTCTCTATTAATCCTTATTATCTCTCTTCAATCTTTATACAATTTATATTAAAGTTTTAGTCATACATTCATTATTCATATAATCATATTATCATATATAATTATTACCTCCGCCCTAGTGTATTTGTCCAATTACACTTAATTTATAGAGTAAATTCCATAATTGGTCCTTTATAACAGGGAGGTTTCCATATTTAGTCCTCTATTATCAAATATTACCCCCGTAGTCCTTTTTTAAGGGCGCCTTTTCACAAATGGTCCTTTTTTTGATCTTCTGCCATGTTAGTCTTAATTTAAAGGCTAAAAGTATAATTTGACATCAACATTATGTCTAGTGACGTGTTCTGATATTGGTTAAGCGGATAACACAAAAATAATGACTATGATTGTGGGCTATGATTCCAACGAAAGACCACTTTGTAGACTATGATTGTAGTAGAAAGCAACTATAATTCACAAACGATGCAAACGGAAGAGCCTTTGGAATTGTGTATGACAAAAAAGATATATTATGATTGTGAAATTACATGTTTAACCCTCAAATTAACACTAACATGATAGAAGATCAAAAAAAACTATTTGTGGAAAGATAGTCATAAAAGAAAGATAAATTATGGAATTTACTCTATTTTATATTGCATATTAGCATAATGAAATAAAATTTTGAAAGTTTCTCAATACGATAAATCCAATAAAGTCATTTTTATGTTAAAATAGATTACAATTTTTATTTAATAATTGAAGCTCAAAGTTTGCTCAATTTGACTTGAAAAAGTCAAACTCGACAAATACATTGGGACGGAGGGAGTATTTACTAATATATTATACTGTTAATTTGTTATAAATTAATATTATAATTTCAAAATTCAATATATAATTAATATTTTAAATATTTAATATAGTCCTTTTTTTATCAAAGTAAAAATATATTACAATGTTGAGAGAGTCCGGTAGAAGGCCCGGGACGGAAAAAAGTAGCCCTATCAAATTACAATATATAAATTAACATGATCTTTTGACCTAATTCAATTTTGACCTTAAATGACCTTGGGATTTTGGGGCATGTACGACTCCATTGGTAAAATTGATGGTTCTTACCCCTCTAACCTCCTGCTGCCCAGCACCCCACCTTGGTAGCCCCTGCCCCCACCCTAAATCACTGATTTCGCACTGCCAAATTAGTGATTTAGGGTGGGGTAGGGGGTGCTAGGGCGGGGTGTATGGGGTATGAACTATTAATTTTACCAATTGAGCACCGTAGAGGCCACGTGCCATAATATAACCTTGAAAACAAAGGCTAAAAGAATCGGTGTGATAAATTAATTTTGTTTAAGCGATAATTAACATTATAATAATAATAAAAATCATTTTTTCATCTCGTTTAACGTCTTTTATTACCGGATAAGTGTTTAGGAGGCATAAACTACTGATTGTAGAAATCAAATATAAAATTACATTATTATTACTAATATCAAATTTCAATTTTTAATCAGGGCTAATTAGAAATAGAATTAAATCAAATCCACAAGAGTTACTCTTACATATCAAATGAATAGTTTGGGGGCCCTTTGTAAAAATAAATTTTATAATAAAAAAGAAATATTTAATAATAAAATGTTTAAATTTAAAAGTGAAATATTTAAAAATGCAAGAAAATAATTTGTAAGTAAAAATTACAAGAGAAAACAAATTATAAGCAGTTTTTCAAACGTTTTTCAAAATTTGAATGTTCAATCGAAATAAATCTTTTCGTAATTGAAATTGCTTTAAAAATTGGTAATGTTGTCATCGAACCCTCTGAATGCTATTGGCGACGTTAGGGCACGACTCGCGATTGGAGGTTGAAAACAAGGGCGAGAACATGTTAGAGAGATTGAGACTCAGATAAAGAGAGGTTGAGAAACTAAGAGAAAGAGAGGTCGAGATACTGAGAGAAAAAGAGCCCAAGACACAAATAGATCAAAAGAGTCAAAGAGTAGCGCCCTGGTTATTTTTAATTGAACTATATTTTAAAATTATAGCCCCATTATTTTTAAAATTTTAATATTTGTAAAAAAAGTTTAAACTTTGACATTATATTATATGTTTAAAAAACAAAACAAAGGGCCCCTAAAAAATGGGTGGGCAGCCTCTTGGGATAGTTGGATTTTTTACGGTAAATTTTATTTGATTAAATGATTTTTTTGGGAAATTTCTAGATGAGTTCGGTACTTGCTCATTGTAATCGAGCTATTTCACATAAAAAAGGAATGTCCATCATGGACGCCTCACACCCAGCCCAACATACTAGTGATAGTGAAATTCACAGTATAGTATAACCTTAGTCTAGTTATGTCTGAGGCTTTATCATGTCTCGTACACACAAAAAGTCACATTGGAAAAAAACTATAAAACTTTCACATTGTGTCTTCTAGTAGTCACCATCTAAAGTACTCGTTTGGTTTAAGGCTGGAAACGGTTGCTATTCAGAACCGTGGGAAAAAATTCAGGTTCTTAATTTTTTGTACAGGAACTGGACCGCTACAAAACTGAAATCAATTTCTTTTGTTTTTAATCATTTTTATGCTTATTTTTAAAATGTTTGAAGTTGATTCACAATATTAACTACCAAGAAAAGAGTTTGTAGCTAATTATATAGCATTTTTACCAAAAATTTTATAATAAAAAAATTCTTAATCGGTTCGTGGAACTGCGACCAAAACAAGAATCTCTACAAAACCAAAATCACCCATGGGGTACCATATCCGCTTCCCCTAAAATGAGTACCGAAACCATCAGTTTCAAAACTCAAACCTTACCCATATCGATACCGTGTCTAGTCCTAGTTTGGCTTGAGTGCACCTATTTAGAACTCTAATATGATCCGGTTTAAAGGCCCGTCCGGAAAAGGAACCCCGGTCTAACCCATGGGTATATCTCATGGCCGACTCACTTCAACTTTCCTTTTCTCTCTCCTGTCTTTCTCTATCATCTACGTACGGAGCAGCGTATTTTCTCTTTCATCAATCAAGAAATCATACGTATCATTTGCTTCGCCGCCGTGCAGTTGTGCCATACTCCGCCGTCCGCCGATGATATCCGATGGGCATGGAATTGGTGAGTGCGTCGATTCTTGGTGCTCTCTCATTTCATTCTAATTTTATTATTATTGAAATTATAATTATTACTATTATTTGCTTTTGAATTTCATATATGCCTTCCGTGTAAATGCGGTTGGGAGCTTGGAAACCCCTACGGATTTCTTTCCTTTTGGAACCTGACTTGTCGATAATACTGATTTATTATATTTGTTAGGTTTGGAGGAATTGAAGAATTGGTATTGCATTTCAGAGTTCGACTAGGCGGGAGATATATATAGAGTCTAGGGTTTTCTTATCCCGGAGCTGCGATTGTTCATACAGGGATTTGAGTAGAATTGGGCTACTTGGTTCTATTGAGAATATAGGTGTTGGTTGGTATTTGGTAATTGATAGGAGTGGGTTAGGGGATAATGTGTATACTGTGCGTTATTCAGAAGTGGTCTCGCAGGGTTGCTACCATGTTGCCGTGGTTAGTGCTCCCCCTTATTGGGCTATGGGCACTGTCACAGGCATTGCCCCCGGCTTTTCGGTTTGAAATCACATCTCCCAGGCTGGCTTGTGTGTTTGTACTCTTGGTGACTCTTTTCTGGTACGAGGTTTTGATGCCTAGATTGTCATCTTGGCGGGCAAGGAGGAATGCTATGCTTAGAGAGAGAAAGAGGTTTGAAGCGATTGAAATGCAGAAGTTGAGGAAAACGGCCACTAGAAGATGTAGAAATTGTTTGACTCCATACAAAGAGCAGAATCCTGGTGCTGGCAAATTCATGTGCTCATATTGCGGGCATGTTTCTAAGAGACCAGTCTTGGAGTTACCTTGTGGTACAGGTTTGGGCTTGTCAAATTCTGGAATTTTGAAGGGCTTGGTCGGGAAAAGTGGGAAGATTTTGAATGGTAAGGTTTGGTCTGATAGTAGGTGGGCTTATGGACAGGATTGGGTTGATAACAAAAGTTGGGTCAGTGCATCTTTTGCTCGAAAGTCAAACTACTGGCTCAAGAATGGTGGTGGGGTTTTTGAGAGTGATCATTGTTTAGCTAAGAAATCTTACTTTTGGGTGTTTGTGTTTGCTTGCAAAGTATTTACAGCTGTTTACACGATTATCATGTGGCTTTATAGAAAGATTTTTAGGATTAGTTCTTCTAGAGATGATGCTTCCGTCGATGCTGAGCATAGTGGAATATTGGATAAAACATGTGAAAATGGAGGAAACTGTCAAGAGAGTAGAGGTGAGAAAGCTCGAAGAAAAGCTGAAGAGAAGAGACAGGCTAGGTTAGAAAAAGAACTTATGGAGGAAGAAGAAAGAAAACAAAGGGAGGAAGTAGCTAGGTTGGTTGAAGAACGCAGGAGATTGCGAGATGAAAAGAAGGAGGCTGAAAAAGAGCGTGGGAAAGGGTCTTCACCTAAGGAAAGAGATAGTAAAAAGGAATCAAGAAAAAGACATCTCGAGAAGAAGAAAGAAAGAGACCTGGGATCAAGCAAAAGCAACTCAGATGCAGAAGAACTAGAAAAACGTGTAGGCAAGGAAAGCGAGCGAAGCAAACGAAACGAGAATGATCGGCGGGAGCATAGAACTGGATCTGAATGTTCAAAAGCTCCTAACACTGAAGTTGGGCATGCTTTTAAGGGTGCTAATGTAAACAATCATAACCGCGGAAATACTGGAGCACGGTACTTTGACCGTATGCGGGGTACCTTTTTGTCATCTTCTAAAGCATTTACTGCAGGTGGGTTCTTTGGAAAGAGCTCTAATCCATCTACTGTTAAAGAACACAAATCTTGCACAACTGTAGATCATGTTCAAACATATGCCCAAAGGAGGGAACTACCTCAGCCAGATCGCTTGTCTGTCAAAACTAATATGAATGGAGATGATAAGAGCATCAATCATCCTGTAAATCCTTTTCTCGTCTATCTATCAGTATCAAATTTTCTTTTCTCTAAATGCAGTATTCTGGCCATGCCCATTTATGTCCTTGGTGTTCATCTGCTAGCTATGGTTATTGATTTACTCACAATTCCTGTTGGATGGTTCAATGCATTTTCTTTACTTGCACTAGTAAAAATTACCTAGGTTATTCAAATTGCAAAGCAAACTTGCTGTTCTAAACTAATAAATTGATTCAAACATGCAGAGTTGTATATCTACAGAATCTTAAAAACAATCATCATAAAATCATACAGAATCATATAAAGTCATTATCGAATCATAAAAAACTGCTCTGGTGATACTTTGTGATACTCAAAACAAATTATATTTACTTTGAGACTGAGATAAATCATTCCATTAGCTAAAATAAAAGCAATGCCTTTTATGAGACTGATGAGTAGTTGTGTTCTAAGGCGTCACTTTTGTGTTTCAAATGTGTTTAGTGCTTATTGTTGGGTTGATTTACACCATGAAATATTATACTACTAAAAAATTGTGTACGACGTCAATCACGGCGTATGTATAGTTTTAAGCTATGAATTGAGTTGGTCTTATTAATTTCTGTCCTTCAGTTTTCTATCTAAAAAAATTGTAATTCAATCTCTTGTTTAGTAAATTAGTATAATTTATGTTTCTAAACCTTCTGCGTATGGGATTCAAAATATGATTTTAACTACCTTGGAAGTCACAGTATAATATGTTATGTTATTGATGGATTCAACTCTTTCCTTGTTTGATTGGCTTTAAAATTCAAGGTCAAAGGACACTAAATAATCAGAGTTTTTTGTTCTCTTGAATGATTTCTTTCGTGAATTGTTCCTACCTGGACATTGCCGTTGACATGGACTAATTATGTATATATTTATTTATACTTTTCTAAATTTTGTTGATGCAGGTACTCATTGAATCTCCAGTTTGTACAGCTCCCAAAAAGTCATGGCAACAATTGTTTACCCGTTCACCTGTTTCTCCACCCTCTAATTCAAATGTCATAAGGAGACCAAATGTAAAATCCCAAGTAGAAATTCACAGTCCTCCGTGTACTAGTCACTCTCCACCTGTGCAAGAATTTGACAATCCTATAAATTTTGGACTCCCTTCCCCATTTAATTTATCTTCTCTCACTTTTGGACCTACAACTAGCAATACATCTCTTCCAGTTTCATCTGAAACTATGTTTTCTCGTATTGGAGAACCTTCATCTCCATTACTGCCTGAGGAATCAGAGAATTACGAGGATCCATGCTATGAAACTGATCCAGTAGCTTTGCTTGGTCCGGTTTCTGAATCTCTTGATAACTTTCACCTAGACCTAGGCTTCATAACAGATGCAGAGTTGGAAAAACTTCCTGTTAGTAGTACTTTTTTCTCATCTTCTGAAGGGACTAAGCCATCACCAATTGAGTCTCCAATATCCCGGTGTCGGGTTCATGATGAAAGGAATACAAGCTCTCTTCTTTTCCCAACTACCCCCAAGGCTCAGGATTTGCCTAAAGAGCAAAAGGATGCTTTGTGTGAGGAAAATGATGAAGGAGGATGGCAAATGTGGAAGAGCCCTGCTCTTGGTCAGGGTAGTCTAGGTTTAATTGGTGGACAATCCTCATGGGTTTTGAACCAGGAACTGAACCTTTTGAACAGAGAGGAAATTTTACATCCTGCACCCCAAAAGACTATGGCATCGCTTTTTAAAAATGATGATCAGCTCCGTCCTGGTATTCATCCTTCGCAGACAGGTTACACTGGAAGTGGCCAGAGTAATGGCACATTTGTTACATCTATGCACGGGAATGCTGATAGCAGGTTTTTGAATCCTATAATTGGGACAGTTTCTGGAGCTGAATATCAGTACTGTCTTAATCCTAAAGGGGAAAGCATACCAAATGAAATGATATATGCAAGTCCTGGTGCAGTTGCTACTAACCATCAATTTGAGTTGCCTTCAGTTAATTCGTGGGCCAAGTAAGTACAACCAGTTTTTTCTTTATCTTCCAAATTATGGAGTATTTAATATCTTTGTCTTAATCTAGTGTCCATAGTCATTTTTTTCTGCAGAATTAGGTCAGTTCATTCAAACATTAGTTTTTAGGAAAAGATGCCTATGCCAATTGAGTATGTCCCATTCTGTCGTTAATGTATATAATTGAGAAATATAACATGCCGGTTGTCGTAGATAATTTATTCATTCTTAGACTTTAGTGGAAAATTTGTATATTATATGAGACATTACACACACACAGATACACATGTATATATATATGTGTGCGTGTGTCTATATATATGTATGGATGTATTGTGTGTGTGTGTGTGTATATATATACAGAGAGAGAGAGAGAGAGAGAGAGAGAGAGAGAGAGAGAGAGTTCCCATTCATTTTAGCACAAACAATGAAATCTTTATTACTCCCTCCGTCCCATATCTTTCTTCCTAGAGAGAGAGAGAGAGAGAGAGAGAGAGAGTTCCCATTCATTTTAACACAAACAATGAAATCTTTATTACTCCCTCCGTCCCATATCTTTCTTCCTAGAGCACTATTCCAACTTCACGGGAATTTATATTTCATTTGCGTTTTTATTTTTTATTTCTATACCAATATTTAAATAAAATAGATTGAAAATTTTTGGGGTTTTTCTTCGTTTTGCGCAACGGGAAGAAAGATATGGGACGGAGCGAGTATATTATTAAAACTTGATGATTACTTTTTCTAATTGAGTAAATTTTTCTTGAGCCAATCTGTCAAATGATTTGACTTCAATTTCTCGACTCAAAGCAAATAATGAATTTGTTTGTAACAATTAGATACGGCACACAAAAATTTGGCGATGCTCAAACAATATGGTTTTATGAAATAAATGATATGATAACCTAGACTAGAAGTTGAGTGCTAACAAAGATTATGCTTGTCATCCTTGTTCTTGATGTTTCTATAAAATGTGCATGTGTGGATGCTCACACAGAGGATGGACATAGGTGGCGAAGGAATATGATAGGAACCCTTAAATTGTGCATGGAGTTATTATATATGTATGCATGTGTTTCTTGTGTAAATAAATATGTATGAAATATATGTTATGGCTGTTTGACTTTCAAAATTTTGGTAATCATTTATGGTAGTATGGTACCCCAATCAGTTGAATTTGTTGGTTTAAAGCTCCAATCCTAATGTTTTTCTTTTTAATAGTTGCTTAAGAATTCTTAAAGCTCAAGGATAATTGGAATGAAATCTAGGAAGGAGTTGAGACTTGAGGAAGTCTCATCAAGTTAACCTAACTTGCTAAAAGTTGAACTTCACTTCTAGTACTCCCGTATCATAACCACCACAATATGGTACATGGTTATGTTGAATCATATTCACTATAGATTATGATGCAAACTTTTGCTAGATTGGTTTAAATAGTAAGGATAAAGAAGGCTGTGCTATTTGTAGTAAAAATCATTAGATTGAGGATGGGTAATGCTCCCTACTTCAAGTTTTATGCGTGCAAGAGGTCTCAAGAATGCCCATCTTGTAGGAACAAATGACTTCCTTGAGGGATTACATGAATTCATTGAATTCAGTGCCTCAAATGAACTCCTTTAGTAGATGAATAATGTGGGGAGAGTTGATTTGTCTATTAGATTATTTTTAGAAAAATATGGGGGGTTTATTTAGATTTTAGAGTGTAGGTGTATTTACAAAAAATGGTGGTTGTAAATAGCACCACCTTAAGAAAATGACAGTTTTTGTTAATACCGAAAGGTGAATATCTTGAAATTTATTACGTAATCTAACTTTGAATTAAAACTGAAAACAAATGATTTTATTTTCTTAAAAAAATACAAGTCTCTTGTGAGCATGTTACTATTATTATTGAATATTGAAAATTTGAAATTCATAAGAAATGAGTGAAATTCATTATTCTTAAATTTGTATTTAGATCATGAATTAGAGTTTCAGACTCAATTGTATGTGAAATTATTGGTCAGTTGAAATTTGGCTTTAAATGTGTGAAATTAGTGAACAATAATTAACATTATTTGTTTAAATGCAGGTGGAGACTTCAGCAATTAACACTTATTGAGATGTATTTAAGAGTTCTGTTTTTTGAAAGGGAGCTAAGGCAAATTTTTACACTTTTTAGAAAACAATTAACCCACTATTTGCGGTTAATAAATCTATACCCCTTAGTGAAGATACAAAGATGACTTATTTTTGCAGTAGGAACAACAAATCCAGTGTAGTCCCACTAGTAGGGTTTAGGGTGGGTATGATGTATGCAGACCTTCCCTCCGCCCGTGAGAGGTGGAAATGGAATCAAAGTAGGTTAGCAAGAAAGTAAGGCAATTCAAAAAACAGCATGCACACACCCGTATTACACCTTAGTTGTAAACATCATAGGGTAATTTGATCATTTTTCCATTATGTAAATTGTAAAGGGATTATAGGGTAACTCAGCAGGGTAAACATTTTACTCTGTATGACTTTATAGATGAAAAAACTTCCTTTTTTCCTATACGGTCACAGAAGCTGCCCCTCTCTATTAACATGGTTCGCAAGTTTTAAACTACTGTCCTGCCGGGCAGTTTGGATACTTATGTTCAGAATATATACTTGTATATGACCACTCAAATGAAGTCCTCATTTCACCCACCCCCCCCCCCCCCCAAAAAAAAAAGAATTAAAAGATAAAAAATAAAAATAAATGATGCATGGAATCAATTTATTATGCTGAATGTTTCTGTTACCCTGTGCAGAAAGGATTGGACAGTGCAAGCTAGGGGTAGAGGGGTTGGAACGTCTCCAGTTTCAAATGTTGGTGCTCTGTATTCCCCTCCATCAATGGCACATTCTCTTTGGGCATATAAGTGAGAGAACAGAAGAGGCTCTTTTAATTTTTCACATTTACAAAAAAGAATGACAGGTTGTTCTGGTGGGTTTGGGGGGGGGGGGGGGATACTGGTATGTGAGTATACATCCCCACTGTTGAGAGGAAAACAGCCTCTTTTGAAGAAGAGGTTAGAATACTGAAGCAATGTATCTTCCTTCTTTTCCTAACAAGGAAGATTTACTTTAGCTTTAGCAGCTTGCTTCTGACGAGCAAATCAGTTGGTATAAGAAGGTATCGTTCGTTTAAACTACATTCACAATTTATTTTCTCCTCCTCTCTAAATGCTTTCCATCCCGGGCGCATGTGGAATTCAATGCTGTTGTTCGCCATCCCGGTTAACCCTAAATCATGTGTTCACATTTCTCCTCCGCTTCCCTCTCAAATTTACGCCATCATATCAATTTTTTTATATTCACATGTGCAAGAAATAGGTGTGCCTTTGAATGCTCAAAATATGGTACATGAAATGATGCTATTTGCAAATCCAGATAGTTTACTATCCTATGGGATTTGGAAAAACCCACCAAATTTGGCAAATCATGGTTGAAATATGTATCATAAAACAGTGTACACTTAAATATGATTAGAACACCTAAATAGATTTCCTGTACTTTTTTGCTTACATAGGAGTAAAATAAGAATGATGCGTTGGCACATTTGACACAAGGGAGTTTTGGGGACAGTCATTGGCAACTCATTGTTATGGTTGACATTCAAATTGTCATTTAGATTTTAAAAGAATAAAATAAAATTCCTATTTGGGTAATTTGTGGATGTTATTCCATTACACTTCTAAAATTATACAGTTAATCTACACCATAAATAAACACTTTTATTCCATCATTTACCTCTTTACAACAACCAAAGAAAATGTCGAGTTGGCATTCGCCACCCAAAACAACCACATCCATGAACAATAAATGTGTGTTTTTTTTGCTGCGTTGGCCCAATATCTTTACCGTTGGAGTCCTTTCAATCTACTCTTTTATGATTTTATCCATTTCTCATGTAACACCAAGTTCAAAGCTCAAGTACTAAGACTTCTTGCTCGAGAAAATGCCTTTAGATAGAAGGGTCTGGAGAGTTAGGATTAGGGTAGTCAGATAGTTGCTATGAACTTAGTGGTAGTTTTTCCACTTGTGTGCGTTATTTGTCGTGTAGGTTTGGGCTCTGTGTTTGATGTGCTTTTGTTTTGTTTAATTAGTTTGTTCTAGGCCTCTATGTGCTTTTTGCTATCTTTGTTATATGTCTCCTGTGATTTCATTTTATCTTTACTCTTTGAGCTGTGAGTCTCTCGTAAACACTCTTTCTATTCTTGAATAGGTGCAAGGTCTGCATACACACCTTTCACACACCCTACTTTTGTGGGATCAAATTGAATTGTTGTTGTTGTCTCTAGTCTTCATATTCTAGTATTCGAATTTAATCCCAATTCGTTTGGCATTGCGGTGGATTTCTAAAAAAACGTGTCTTAAAGCTTGTTTTTTGGATTGAAATGTCAGAACTAAATATTCTGGAAAATGTTGAAAGAATTAAAGCGTTAAAAAATCACTAAATTAAATGATTAACTAAATAAATATTTAAGAAAACTCTAATTTTATATAAAAAGGAATTCATTCTTGTTTGTGTTTGACATGGCATATGATAAATTTAGATAGATAATGTTATTGTACATTAATCATCACCACGATTTGTGTGTCATTGGTGCCGAATGTCATAGGATAACCAAATTCTCCTATGAGACCCCGTTGATAAAATTAGTAGTTTATGCCCGTAGTGACACCCACGTTTGGTGATACTAGCAGTGTCACTGTCATTTTGGGACACTTCCGGTGTTCCGTTCATAAAATTGATGGTTCCTACCCCTCCTAACCCACCCCCTAAACCCCCACCCAACCCCATCGCTTAAACAATTCAATCATTATATGATACTAAAGTCTTGTTTGGTTAAAACATAAACAAGTTTGAATTTGATACTCACAACATCGGTAGAGCACTGCTGCCGAAGAAGGACCTGACCAGGTTCGTGAGATGGCCTCAAATTGTCCAAATCCAGAGGAAGAGACGAATTCTCAAGCAGCGATTGAAGGTCCCACCTGCAATTAATCAGTTCTCCAAAAAACCTGTTGTCAAGTTTAATTTGGTCTTTTAAGCATGTCACTTGTCTAATTAAGCACGTTCATCGTTTGAAGCCCGGCCTTTAAACTGGGGCTTCAAAGAAACGAAAATCGATCATTAAATTTAAAAAAATTAAGTTCAATAAAAAAATTCTAAATTTAAAAAAAATCACTAAAAAAACTAAAGCATATTATATTTAACATTAATCTCATTTTGTCTTTTCTCATAATACATAACGGTGTTAAACACCAATTTGACGCGAATGGCGTTACACCCATTTCCACTGACCTAAGACATATTTTGCCTTTATTTTGGGGGGGGGGGGTGCATTTTAGAAGGGAGATCCAAAGAGTAATATTAGAGCATCCACAATGGTAGCATCCCTCACTAGATGTTGAAGTGTGTACTCTACTTTTAAAATGCCAATTGAGCACCTCTCTCAACATCTAAACCTTTTAATAGTGACATCTCATATGGATGCCTCATTTTATTCAATGAATGCAGTGGGTCCATATAAATATAATTATATTTTATTTTCTTAATTATAAGTATTTAGTATATGATAATTTTTTAATTAAGATTAATTCTTTACTCGTTATTATTAATATTAATATTACCTTCTTCCTAGAATATATATCTAATTTTGACTTTTTACATTTAAATTAATAAAATTTGGTCTTTAATTAAATAAAACTTATATTAGATATTGATACAAAATTAAATTTCTTAGATTTATGTTGTAAAATATTTTAAAATGTTTTTTATGTAATTAATATATGATGTAGTTAATATTGTTTCTAAACAAATAGAAAAAACAAATACCTAAGAAAATTTTCGAAATAAATAAAAAAAAAATAGTCATTCCGTTAAAAAAGAGTTTGAATTCTAGAACATTGCCATATCTAATTTTTTGAAGGTGCCAAATCTAATTTAATAAAAAAAACTTTCAAACCTTCAAAAAAACTATAAATGCAAACTTTCAAATTGAAAAAAATAATAAATATGACACATGGCACATACATATTGGACCACAATACTTAAAAAACAAATGTCCCAATTCTTCCATCCTCAAGCATCGGGTGCTTGGCCAAGCATCTTCCTTTCATTTTTCTCTTTGAGCATCTTTATTGGGCATCTATCTACAATAATAGCATCCACGAACATCTCACTCTCTCTCCTCCTAGCATCTCTTTTGGGCATCCCATTGGAGATGGCCTTAGGCCTTTTGGGCTGGAATTAGATTGAATTATTATCGGGTATATTGGGCTTGGTTTAGATAACGCTTTTTCCATGGAGTGAACACGTTCTGACGACTCTATGTTAAGGACAACAACAACAACCCAGTTGAATCCCACAACAGTAGGGTCTGGGGAGGGTGTGTGTACGCAGACCTTGCCCCTACTCGGAAGTAGGGAGGCTGTTTCCAAGAAACCCCCGGCTCCACCTGCACAAAAATATGGAAGGGAACACAGTATAGCACAGATAAAGCACCAAGTACAAGCAATAGCAGAAGGATCCAAACAAATACAACACACTACAAAACAACCTCTACAACACCGAGCTCATATCCAGCTACTCTAATCCTAGTTTTCCAAAGGTTCCTATCTAGGGCCATATCCTCAGTCAGCTCGAGGAGTCCTAAATCCTGCCTAATCATCTCCTTCCAATTCTTCCTAGGTCTACCCCTTCCCCTACTTCCCCCGATAACCGTAATACTCTCGCATCTCCGTACATGGGCGTCAACATCCCGCCGTCTCACATGGCCAAACCATCTCAACCTCGCTTCCCACAACTTGTCTTCCATCGGTGCCATGCCTACCTGACGTTGGATAACTTCGTTCGAAATCCTATCTAACCTTGTCTTCCCACACATCCATCGTAACATCCGCATCTCCGCCGCATTCAGATGACGCACATGAGTCTTCTTAACCGCCCAACACTCTGCCCCATATAACATAGCAGGTCTGACTACGGATCGATAGAACTTACCTTTCATTCTAGGCGAAATCTTCGGATCACACAACACTCCTGAAGCTAACCGCCATTTGGCCCAAGCCACTCCAACCCGATGTACAACATCCGCATCTCACTCCCCATCTGCCTGGATTACCGAGCCAAGATATCGGAACCTGTCTACCTTCGACATGCCCTCTTAATTCTTTCCAACTTTATAAACCATTTTTAGTTTTCCACAAAGAAAAAAAAATACCATTTTTAGTTAAACTCTTAGGCCCCGTTCCGTTCAACTTATTTTTTCTTATTCTTATTAAAATCCGATCAGATCAGACCAGATCAGATCATATCATATTGAATCAGATCAGATCAGATCAGATCAGACCAGAACTTATTAAAATCAGATCCCATCAAGAATTATTATTATTATTATTATTATTATTATTATTATTATTATTATTATTATTATTATTATTATTATTATTATTATTATTATTAAAAATGAAAAAGAATAAAATTTAGAAACAGGTTAAATAGAAAACTGAGAAAGTAATCCTTAATTATTAGACGTCGGAAAAATTAGTTTTAAATACATTGACAATGTCAATCTAATTCTACTTTTAAAATATATTTTTATTCCTACTTGTAATTTGAGTTTCTAAAGTTTTTGATCTTTTATAAGGATGAGATATTTTAATAAAAATACTATCTCTTCTATATATTTATTATCTAAATTTCATTACTTTTTAATGTATATATAAATTAAATATTTATTCTAATATATATGAAGTAATTATTAAAATATTAAATTATTATTCTAATTTCACAAAAAAAATTATAAAATATAAAATATTATTACATTATTATATGAATGATTATTCTCGTTGGGTTAAGGAACCCGGGGGCCTAGGTAACTAGGCGAAAGAGTATCGAACTGAGTCGAGAGTGCACAAAATATGGGGTCAAGTAGATTGAGAGTAATATCGTGCTAGTTAGAATATGATTTAGAACGTAAGTCCCCCTTCCTTTAGAAGAGAAGGGGTTTATATGCAGATTACAGCTAGGATTCTGACCGTTGGTCCATAGTCTAACGGTCTAGGCCCACTAAGATTGGGTTGTTCACTGGCGGCGTCCAACCACATCATTAACCCTAGGACTGCTATACAAATGTAGGTTACAAGTAGGGTGGCTATGATTGGGTTGGTCCCTACTGCAGATTTGGAAACCTTGAGTACTGATGATATGATGAGGGTCACTACTACGCGACACGCTACCACCACTTCTCGAGGCTACTAGCTCAGGGTCTCCCCCTCCTTGTTGATCAAAAAAAAAATAGGGTGGCTATAACAACTCTGCCAGAGGCATGGCAGGGGTCTAATCGTGGGTCCCTTGATCTTGACTTCAGTCAGCTCCCTTGTCCAGGTCTGGTCTGCCCTTGCCCAGGGCCGAGGCCGAGCGCATGACCTGTCTTCGGAAGTCCCTTGGCGGAAGGCCGGCCAGGGGTGGCCCGAGGATGACCGACCCCGCCGGGGCCGAGCGCGTACCGCTGCCAAGGTGGTCTTCCCTGGTCCTTTGCTTTGGTCCCGCCAAGTGGGCCCTAGTGAAGTTGGGTTGGACCGTCTTCCTGTTGGGCTGGATACCCCCATTCCCGGGTATCCATCAATTCTAATATACTCCCTCCGTCCCCCTAAGATGTTCTCATTTTGACTTTTGGTGATTTTTAAGGAGAGTTGAAAAAAGGTGAAAGCTTACCATAATACCCTTAATGAAAATGGGTGGAGTGTATTAAATGAGGTGGGTGAGGTGTAATAAATAAAGTAAGTAGGAGTAGTTGTGGTATTTTAATTGTTAAGAAATGAAATGAGAAGATCTTTTGTGGACAAAGAAAAAGGGCAATTGAGAAGATCTATGAGGGACGGAGGGAGTATAAATTAACTAATTTTATTTTATTAAAAAATAATAATTAAATAAAAAATATTGATTATATTTTAATATGAATTGTCATTACAATTTTCAAACGTTATTATAAAATCAAATCAAATTATTGATTTGAATTTTAAATCAAATCATAATTAATCTGATCAGATCAGACCAAATCAGATCAGATCAAATCCAATCAGATCAGACCAGATCAGATCCAATCAGATCAGATCAGACCAGATCAGAACTTATTAAAATCAGATCAGATCAGAAAAAATAAGTTGAACGGAATGGAGCCTTACTCTATTTTCCTACCTCTTGCTTTCCCTCAGGGAATATAAAATTATGTAGCAATGAATGACCGACAACTTTAAAAATAATCTAAGAGCATCTTTAGTGACGAGAATGTTTGATGGTACTTTGAGCTAAAATACGATTATTTCAGTAAGTAATTCTTCTTAAAATGAAGTAACTAATGCCCAACTCTACACCCAACATCAGCTCTAAATCACTTTTTAACTATTTAAAATAATGGCAACTCACCTTTTCATACATCAAAGTTGCTCTAAAGCAATCGGAAGGTGGATGCCGATCATTCCGGACCAAATCCATCATAATTTATACCACATGGTTTTAGAGAACGCTGGTTACGTTCCTCTATGTCATGTCTCTCAAACTAAAGTTTTTTAAAAAAATTGACACTAGTTGGGATGAAATTCGATGGTGAAATCGGATAATTAGCATTTCGAAGTGCTATTGCAGCAAGTGAAATGCAAGGAAAGTCTTAAAATAAAGGGAAGATAATTTGCACTGAGCTTAGTTAGAAGTCACATTCTTGCCTTGTTTCCTCACAAGTGAGATTCTAAAGAGGCCAAACTTCTTCTTCTTCTTCTTTCTCCTTGGTGTACCGAGTCTACGAGCATTCTCTTTCTCCTCTCCCAAACTGAACACACTGCTCGACTTGCAAAGCAGATGGGAAAGTGATGCTCTCTGCTTCCCATTGCTCTTCTTCGCCGTGCACATTTGATTCTCATAGTCTTCATTGGAAAGCAGTTTTCGGCTCAAGATTTGCCCTATTGATAAGGTTGACTTGAAAGCCTTTGAAGGTGAGTCGTCTTCATTGGCAAGAGTGGAGTTCTTGAACTTTGTTGAGTTTTGCACAGAGGGTTTTCTTTGACCGTGACCAGATCTCCATCTACGCATAGCTTCCTCCATTTCCAGCTTATCACGGCTAGCAGATTTGAGTCTGTTGAGTGCCTTTTCTAGGGCTTCCTTTTGCAGTTTCATTTCATCTGTGGCTTTCTCAACCTTAGTTAAGATTTCTGTTTTCAACACATCGGTGGCCTCGTCAACTAGAAGTTCTGCCCCAACTACTCTCCTCTTACATGTTTCCTCGGCTTCTTGCGCTCTTGATGTCAATGCAGAGTATTCCTCCAAGGTAAGGGTTACCATCCCTTCTTCTGGGTTCCTCTCACTTTTGTTTAGGGCATTGATCTCGGCAAGAGCAGCTGCCTCAGTGGCTCTAGCAGCTTCTTTGATCTTTCTAGCAGCAACCAATCTGCATTCCACAGTCTTGATCTTGGCCTTTATCTGTTCAATCTCACACACAGCCCTTAGAGCCTCCGATTTTGCAGCGTCTTGTGCCTTCTTAAGCTGTTCAGTCTCAGAACTCAGCTTCTGGAGATCCCACCACGTGACTTTGAAGGCATCATTCTCCTTGCAATATCGATTCAACTCTTGCTCCAGAGAGAGGGCTTTCATGGAATTCGAAACCACCCTTTTCTTGGTTTTCTCAACCAAGATCCTCTCCTTCTCTATTCTCTCCTTGTAGGATTCAACCGCGGCTCGAATGTCCACAAGGTCATGTGTTGTCCTTCCTAGGTTTAGTTTGGCTTGCTTCAACTCCAATAAGATGAGCCCGGGAGCTGATGACAGGCACATTGTCAAGCCATTTGACTTTTTCCCAGCCTCACGTATTACAGTGAGATCTTCATCTTCCTCCTCGTGCTGCAGCTTCGCTTTTAGCTGCTCTTTGGTGGTCATGGTGCTTTCTAGTTCTTCTAAGATGGCATGGGTCTCCCTTTCCTTAGCAACAAAATCTCTCTCTAACTCGGCAGCTTCCATCTCCATTTTCTCCATGTCATTTGTGACCTTTTTTTATGCAGCCAAACACACAAATTACAAACAAAGCAATGACAAGTGTGAGCTATATAGAAGAAAAAAAAACAAAACCCAGTATCATCACCTGCATTTACCGACTAAAACCTCATAGAAAGTAAGAAGGAAAGTTTAATGTGCCGTTTTGATTTAGTTCATTATTCACCCGAAACGAAAAAAACAATAAAAAATTGTTACAATGACTTGCATTCATAGAAAGCTTGAAGCAAAGGAAGAAGTATCCATATTGGATAGTGACAAATATAAAATGAATAGTGACTTTTTTAAAATAAGTGAAAGAAGTATCCACATTGAAGAATACTGAACAAATGAGGGATCAGAAAGAATGCAGTTCTTCCTAAACCAAGGTTAAATTGGGGAGATTGTTTATAATTTGCTATATTTTTAGGTGAATTTTAAACATTTAAGTATTTCTTTCCACCAAATTTAATGATTTTTCCCACTAATTTATCTTACTTCTAAAATTACTCTTTTATAGATTATTGAAGAAAAAAATTCATCTTAAGCTAATACATTATAGTTTGAGAGTGTGTCAAACAATATATTATGGGAAAAAAATGAATTAAATGAAAGAAAAGTAATAAAGCACCACACAGACAAATGAATGTCCAAAAAGAGACACCTGGGAGTCACGGCCGTGGGCGGCGGCGGGCCTCCAGAAACCGATGCCGCCGAACCGAGTAGCAGCCTCTCTAACGGACCCGAACGGAGATGAAGTGTCGATCTCCGCCCTAGAAATCCCCGTCTTCTTCCTCTCCTCATCTGAGTTCGGGTCGCCAGGGGTTCTAATTCCCGGACCCGAATCGAACCCGCCTTCGCGATGTTCTGCTCCGTTGGTCTCAGAAGCGGGTACGCCCATAACATCGCCATTCTGCTTCAGCAGATCCATTTGAAGTAAATCCCAGAGAAGGTTAAGCAAAGGACGCCATTGGAGTGGAGACTGGAAACGAAACAGAATCAGTGGTGGGTACGAGGGGAGGAAGTAGAGTGGGCAGAAAGAAGCGTACCCCACCAAGTGAACAGTTTGTACGGTCGTGTCGTGTTCTTTGGATAGGTAGGTGGTGTCGGGTAGGGGATTGAAAATTTGAAAGAGATGATGGTCTCTCACAACTTTTCTTTTTCATAATTGTGTTTTTCCAGTTTAGTTTTTTATTATTAAATATTATCTCAATATTTCTTTTTTATTGGTATCTTTTCATAAATAGTTTCTTTTCTCTTCTATCATATTAATGTTAATTTAAGAGATAGAAATATAATTTCATAATGATAATAGCAAGAACTCCCTAGATAAAAATAAAAAACTAAAGAAAACCCCTTAAATAGGAATAAATCATATATCATATCTTCAAATAGGAGTTCAAACTTAAACTACTCTAAATAGGAATAATTAATTAAATTTTATTTTGATTTACTCTTCCGCACAAACCACACTACATCACAGCCCTATGCGGTGGAAAAAGTCACCCGACCTCTTCCCAATCTCATCCTTTATCGATCTTCTTTTTCGTTCTAATCTCAGTTGCTGACACTGTCAACTTAATCTCAAATCCCCTCTCTGCCGCTACTATCTCCTCTATGCGGCAATGATTCCACCACACTCTACATCATCTCCCTTTCTCTCATACACACAATCTCCTTCCATTCCTCTCCACCATTTTTATTTTTCATCGCTCGGATGCCTCAATCCCCTTGGGTAAGTTTGAATTCAATTTGATATTGAATTTAACATAAGTAGTTAAATTCAATTTTAAATCTAATAATTTACTTCTTTGAGAATTATTTTGTAAAATTGATGCTAATTCTTTTAACATTGCGTGAGTTTGAAACTTTAGATTAATTTTATATTCCATTTCACATAGGTTGTGACATTTGATTTTAAATCTAAATTTTCTTCTTAGAAAATTATTTTGTAAAACATATATTGAAACTAAATGATTATTGTGTTGGCAAATAGAGTTTCTTGATGTTTGACTTTTTTGAGATTATGCATTAAAATATGTGTTATATACTTATATGTAAAATTATACATTGGCATATCTGTCATTATACATTGCCAAGTGTGGCACTATATATTGTCATATTTGACATCATGTCTTGGTTTAGCATTATGCATATCCATGTATGACTTTATACAATGACATGATTGTCATTATGCGGTTACATGTGACGTTAAATGTGGTCTTGTTTGGCACTGTATAGACATTTTACTGTAGCAATTTACTGAGTTTCTATTTATTGCTTAAGAATTTTGACATATATCTACAAAGTATTAATCAGATCTCATAGATTTAATTTATTGATTAAGAATTTTGACAGTGAGTGCGGTCTTGTTTGACACTCTATGGGCTAGAGGCAACACTTAGTTTTTTTCTCTTCCTAAGAATGTCAAATCAGAATATATTTGAGTTGTGAATTCGGATACACATATAAATATTCAGGAGCAAGGTAGATATATATGTATTTGTCTGTGGTACTGAGCTTTGGGTGTGATTTTGTTGTCATCCCTTGACGATATAGTTAAAAGAATCGTTAATTGACAATATTTTAACTTTGGGTAAAAAAATTAGTTGGCTTAGTAGTTAGCTATTATTTTGATAAAAAATAAATATAATGTCCTATTTTATTTTCTGACTCAAAAATATAAACTATTTGTAAAGTCAAACTTTTAATTTAAAATATAGGTAATTGGGTTGATCTCGTAAAAAGGTGGCTAACAGCATATAGTTTGTTAAGTTTAGACTTTGGTGTAAAAAGTTATGAGCAAAATAGATGTTACAGTTCAATAAATAAATATAAAGATTTTATAATATAATAATAATAATTAATTAATTTTCTAACCTATTCTAATTCCCACCCATAACTCAATGTCAAGGTCTATCCCACACATGCAAGAAAAGAAAAAAAACAAAAGAAGGGAGAGGAGAGCGTGAGAAGAGAGATACTGCTAATTGAGGACAAAAATTAATTAATTACTCCTATTTAGAGGAGTTTAAGTTTGAGCTCCTATTTTGAGAATATGACATAACTTTTACTCCTAGTTTGGTCCCTCTCCCAAAAAACTATGGAAATATCAAAATAGAAGTCACACGACTTTTAAAACCAGAATAGGGATTCACACTGCCATTATTACAGTGCAACACTCACAACATTGTAACTACCACATTACCACTGTCACACTGCTATCCTTCGCCGTCGGCCCCCACAGCGCCACACATTACACTTTCATCAATTTTCCATCACACTGCCAACGCATACTCTTATACTACATTACCTATATTTTGGTTTTAAAAGACTTAGGACTCTTATTTTGATATTTTCATACTTTTTTACTCATATCCAGAGAGATTTCTTATGATCATATATATTTCTTGTCATACACAATTCCAAAGGCCACATCTTGATGCGTCGTTTGTGAATTGCAGTGGCTTTCTACTAGACCTGACAATCGGGTCAATCGGTTCGGTTTCGGTTTGGGTCTTTTCTGTTCGGGTCTCTTTCGGATATATGTTATAATCGGTTCGGATCGGTTCGGTTCAGGTTAGTTCGGTTCCGGGTTTATTTTGGTTTGACTAGTTTTCGGTTCGGTTTCGGTTCGGGTTTATACCGGTTCGGTTTATATCGGTTCGGGTTTGTATCGGTTTGAGTTTGTATCGATTCGGGTTTATATCGATTCAGGTTTGTATCGGTTTAGGTTTATATCATTTCATGTATATTTTAAATATATACTACGTACTAATAAATCAATAGTATCGCATAATAAATTTAGTCAATTTATGATATACTTTGTAGTTATTTTATTATTTAACACAGACGTACATAAAAAATAACATTTACATAATTGACTAATTGTTACATTCTAAAGTTTTCCTTCCTAAAGTTTTTGGCGCAACCTTTTGAGTTAACATTCTACTTCGTACTTCCTCTGTTTTTATTTAACTATCCATTTCACTTTGTGTGTCAAATATGTGAATAACTATATATAAAAATATATAATAAATTAAAATATATAGAGTAAAAGTTATTACCAAATTGTTGGTATTAAAAATTAATTTAAATGTATTATTTTTAATATTTTTTGCTAATATATTTGAAGAGACGATGTTGGTCAAACTTTAAGTTCAAAGACGATAAAATACAAAAATACTTTAACTTAAGTTATAAAATACGGAGTAAAAGATTTGTACATGAAAGTAGTTGCACGGTTTGCACCTTTAATTTAAATATGTTTTTTCGGAGCACATCAACATATGTAAATATATCGGTAATTCTTTTTCTCCAAGTTCATTTCATAAATGAAATATTAATAAATTTGATCAATTTTGGGTCTAATCGGTTTCAGGTCTAATCGGTTTCGGGTTTAATCGGTTCGGGTTAAGTCAGATTCGGATCTGAATCGGGTCTGAATATATTCGGTTTGGTTTCGGTTCGTTTCGGATCATATCGGGTGTTAGATTCTATTTCGATTCTTTAGTTTTCGGGTAAATTCGAGTTTGGTTTCTGGTTATTCGGTTCGGATTATCGGGTTCGGGTCAGTTTTGCCAGGTCTACTTTCTACTATATCCATAGTGTACAGATACGGTTTTTTGTCGAAATGCTAGTCCATAGTAATAATCATTATTGTTGAGTTGTCGGTCTGATGGATATCAGAATACGTCAATGGACATAAGATAAATGTCAAATTACACTTTTAGCCATCAAATTAACACCAACATGACAGAAGGTCAAAAAAGACTATTTGAGGAAAAATACACATAAAAGAATGATCAAAGAAATAATAATCAATAATAGAGGACTAAATAAGGAAAACCCCTTGTTATAAAGGATCAAATATGGAATTAACTCTTTTTTGATTTATGGGATTAGTTCTGATATGATTCGATTGAAGCTCTGATCAAATATGATTTTATTATAGTTATATTTATAGTTGTTTTTAATCGATTATAATAAAAGTAAGTAAAAAGAACAAGATCATGTTCTTCTGTGTTGAAATTTCAGAATTAGATATTGGAAGAAACTATAAAGAGCTAGAAAAAACTAGAGGGAGTTGGAAAAAACTAGAAAGAGTTGGAAAAATCAAACTGTTAAAAAGTCACTTATATTGAATTTTCAAAATTTATAAGAACCTTTTTAATTTGTCGTTAGAAGAAACTGGAAAGTATTGGACTACAAGCTAGAAGTTAGAAGAAGCTGAAAAAACTAAAGTTGGAGAACATTATTGGAAGTTCATTTTTTCAACCCAAAAGTAAGTTGAATAGAGGAAGCTCTTAGTCTCTCTAGAGATCTTATATATTATTCTCTAAGAATTCACCCAATATAGGAGCAAAACATATTTGTATCTTCAGAGAAGAAGTAACATGCTTTTATTTATAAAATAAGACTTAAGTTCCTAAAGTAATCAATAAATATAAAACAAATATGTCATTACACTAAGATATACTCTGTGTTACAATATCATACGGGGTACGTATAACAAATACATGACATAGAATAGAATACACTACATGACATGACATTTTTTTTAAAAAAAACCTTATATGAAAACACATCCATGTTATTATAAGATACGGAGTACAACACTACATAGCATCACACTTGACACATAGCATCATATTTGACACAAAAACTTTATTTCGCGTGACGCATGGCGCAACCACCATTGATCCGCCCCACATTATGTGTGTGTGTGTGTGTATATATATACATATACATACATACATACATACATACATACATACATACATACATATATATATATATATATGTATGTATGTATGTATGTATGTATGTATGTATGTGTGTATGTATGTATGTATGCATGTGTGTGTGTGTGTATATATATATATATAAGCATGCACACTCATACCATATTATTTGAAATAAAAGCAAAATGCTTGGTAGTTCTTCTTGCATGTAGCTCAATTGTTGGTTTTCCAACACTTCGTCCTGATCTCGCCATTAGAGCCCGTGAGAGGGCTAAGGTTACTCATTTTTAGCATATCTTTTGCGAATTCGGAAGCAAAGGTAGATGGGTTGGAGCTATAAGTGTTGACAATGGAGTCCGTGGAACCTCCGTTGAAGAGTTCCTGGTCGGAATGGAAAACTCCTTTTTTACTCTGCAAGTTCACAAAATAAGCATTGTCGAACGTAGTTGGAGTATTGTCGAGTGGGGAAAGGTTGTTGTCACCCCCGCTTTGAGGACAATTTGCTTTCAATGAGCTAGCAAATGTGGGCTCTATATTCGTGTCATTGTAGATATGATTCCGGAATGTCGTGCACCTAGCATTCCCTATTGTGTGCCCTCCTGCATATACCATTAACATATATTTAATGAAATTATATAAACTTTTAGTAAAATTATACGGACTACTTCGTAATACACATAGTTGAGATATATTTCCTCAGCTCCGTCCATCCCTTAAAGTTTTTCTCATTTTGACTTTTAAGAAAATTAAAGGAGAGATATTTTTGTGTGGATTTTCAAAAATTACCCGTTATGTGATGACTAAAAGTTGGATGTGACAGGTAGATTATTATTTAAAAAGTATGATGTGATAGACATGGTAAAAATTTATTGGAATAAAAGTAGTTTTTTAATAAAAATGATAAGGACTTTGTGGGACAGAAAAAAAGAAAAGAAAAGGAGTTTGTGGGAGGGAGTATACCATTTTGTGTTATGACAAGGGTGAGTAGGGTACAAACCTGATAGGACAACCATTTCTCTTGTTGAAAAGCCTTTTTTGGAGAAAGAAGAAACGAGTTGACTCAAGTTGAATGCTGGTCCGGGAATGTTACTGATAACTGCACTGTTATTTGCAGTGGTTGAATCTCTCCTACCTAGTTGCAGGTCCCAGCTAAGGCCACCAAGCTGTAAATAAGTTTAATTTATGTTATTTACTAATTGATCTCGTAACTAATCCTACTCTTTTCCATGCTTTTTATTGTACAAGTTTATCCCAAGTTTGACTTGTATCTGGTTACTTATGGAGTATCCTCTTATCACTTATCATATGTTTTGACTTTGTCCCCTATTCATTATAGTATCATACACTTTGATGAATTTAATTTGCAAATCGTAATATTCTTCATTGTCACACATTAGATTTTTTTTTATTTTTTTGAAAAGAAGATTGATTCGCAAAATACATGCAGTGCACGCCAAAAAATGAGCTTTAGTGTTGACTTTTTAAAACCAATGCAATTGCCTTGGAGCAATTGCATCGCTTGCATTTGCATCGTTAAAAAAATGATGCAAAAAGTCTTTAAAAACAATGATAAAGCCCGTTTTTGTAGTAGTGAATGTATGTATTTTACCGCAACCACAGAGTCTCGAGCGGCAACGGCAACAATATCAGCACAAGATACAACACCGGGACAAGTGTTCTCGAGTTGAGTTTTAATGTTGTCAATCACGTTGTATCCCCTCACGGATCCTCTATTTGGTGGCGCAGTTTTCTCACCAGTGAAGGTTGAGTTGTCATTCAACAAAATTGATCCATCACAACCCTGTTTCACAAAATATATACTCCTTGTTATACACTAATCTGACATTGTGGATGAATAACTATATATTATGTACTACAATTTGAATGGGCTTTGATAAAAAGGTGAGAAAATCCAATGCATAGTGTCGCATTCAGAAATATACTTCATGCATCCCTAAACGTATATGATAGGGATTTGGGGATAGAGGAAGTATATGATAGTGGCACTTTTAGAGTAAAGAGTACAGGACCGTCTCCGAAAAAATTAAGGGCCCTGTACGACACACAGAAAATTGGCCATTGTGTCATAATATAATAAAATCTACTCCCTTCGTCCCATTTTAAATCGTCTGTTTTGACTTTTGGGCATATTTAAGGAAAAGAAACAATAGAGTTGATTTTTCAAAATTGACATTACTTTTAAAGAGGGGTGACGATGAATAAGAATATAAGGTGGAGAAGAGTGACTTATTTTAAGGGTAATTTATGTATTTTACTCTTAAAAGTTTACGAAAACAACTAACAGGAAACTTATTTTGGGACGGAGAAAAAAAGGCAAACAGTTAATTTAAAATGGGACAGAGGGAGTATCAATTAGTTTATTTAAAAATAATTAATATTATACTAATAATAATAATAAAATATCAAATTCATGGTGTAATCAATTGTGTGGCTCCGAATCTCTGATGGACTGGCTACTGCTTTGGCTTAATTCCTTCCGTATGTAGATAGGCCACTAGGCCCACTGTCCTTTACTTCTTTGTGTTTTAAATTTTTTATATAAATAAACAAATGTATGTATGTATATATATATATATATATATATATATATATATATATATATATATATATATATAAAGAATGCCCAGGGATGGCTCCCTCTCTCTCTAGATTTCCGGCCACCGGAAATGGGCTAACTCCGGCGAAGATCCAAAGCCAGTTGCACCCTAACAGGAAGATTCTATTCTCGAAGCTTCTACCTAAAGGTACAAAAAACCTTCCTGGAAACAACCATGGCATCTTCAATGGAGCTCCATCCGTCTCTTTCTCCTTTGAAGAAGAACAGGAACTTGCAGAACCCTTTTCCCTTGGGCTTGTGGGGCGTTGCAGTAGCAGAGCCAAGCTAGATGAATTGGAGGCATTCCTAATTAAAGGTGGTTACAGTGAATTCAAGTTGAGAAGGCTACGGAAGAATGACATCCTCTTCCTCTTCAAACGGGAGGGAGACTATTTGCGTTGGTTCTCCCGGCGACGTTGGGTTGTCAGTGGCATCAATATTGCCATCTCCAAATGGTCATCAGATTACTCCCCAACCCGTGAATCTCCCATTGCTCCGGTTTGGATCAAGCTAGAGCACTTCCCAGTTCATCTCAACGACCATGGCGCTCTTTTTAAAATAGCCTCCCTCTTTGGCAAGCCCATTAAACTCGATTCCAACACGGTGATTGGTGTCTTCCCTGAACAAC